GTACGGTTTGGCTACGATCTATTACCGTAGTAAGAACTGAAAGATGAAAGGAGATGAATGGATCTGATTGTTGAACTCTTACTTGAAAGTAGAACATGTGTTTACATAGAATGGTTAGCTAATGAACTAATCATGACTGCTAATAAAACACCTACATAAAGATTCACTACTAGTAATACTTTTCGTAAAAAGGAAACCAAGCAAACCTTAAAGTTTATCATATTCTTTAGAGTCGAGAAATTATTCCCACTTGTCGGATAAGTCTTGCGAATACACTGTGTACTCAGGGTTTATTTACCCATGCTGCAGGAACAGCTTGAGGAGTGGCTGTTGTGTGGAGGATTCTTCTGGTGGGCACAGACGGATCCTTTTATCTTATCGTTAGATGTTTATTTCAATCCCGCTGTTTAAATTTCGCACATTGAACTTGGTATTGTAATAATGTATTTTCCGAGAACTCTTGTCGTATGAAATAGACTAAGTATTGTAAACTCGTTCTCATTATTGGATTCTGGGTGAAAACGTGGATTGTTCGAGTTCTCCCTTGAGGTGTACTCGACGGAACCGTTTGATGTAGCTAACTTTCGGGGTGCTTAGTGTCTAGTGGAAGACGAGCGCCTCCGGAAACGTGTTATTTCGGGACGGTTCTGTCACATTAGGTTTCCTGGAAACTCTCAAACTCTGTCACCCTCGGCTATATAAACATTTCCGCTTGCTCTCCATTGTGCCACTAGGCCTAAATGCACATAGATAGAGTTCAACACCTAGTGGCATTTTATGACCAAATTGTCTAATTAGAACTCCCCTCTTAACAGTACGATCGTCTATCCTAAATTCGATTACGCACTCTATTGCGTCTTGATCGGCAAAACAAAATACCCTAGCTTATAGCTTTGCCTTGAACTCTTGCATTTTATTTTTCTCTTTCTTCTTTTCTAAGAATTAAGCACTTGATCACCATCTGTGGTCAACACCATCACCATGTGTGCCATCCATGCCCATCCTTGGATGTGGACACAATTTATCTCATACACAACATTAGTATAGAGGTTAGTCCACTTGGTTGTCTCAATTATCTAAAGCCACACATAGGGCTTTCATCACTGTTACACAAATTGGTGAGGTTACTGTCACAGCTGTACCAATTTTCCTCTTGTGTATTTCTCTAGTTGCATGATAGAAAAACTCAGTTTGAATAGAAGTTGACAACAATAAATTTTGGACTAGGAGTTACTCACTACGGGATTCACCTAAGAATAGCTATACACTTTAAGGGTCTGTTCGTTTCTCACGGAATGGATGACTAGAATGATTCCAGCCTGGAATGCAGTGGAAATTTATGCTATTTTTTATCATCTGGAATGAATCCACATGGAACAAGGGCTAAACGAACGAGCCTTAACGAAGTTCAACGCCACTAGTTTTAAACCAAGTTTCATCTTAGGGTAGATTTTGTAGCAACAAATTAAAAATAACACACGATAAGATCTTTTTACGATGCAATTGTCGTATTTTCACTTCACACTTGTACACCTAAATATAATTCATTCGCTGAGATAGTTCAACCATTGTACACCAAAAAAATTAAATTCAATAAATCATCTTCGCTAAAATTAAAGACTAAAAAAACATCTATAAAAAACTTCTGACCAATCTGATGGCCAGTGTATGTTATTTGGAGGATCCCAGCCTTCAACGCAGCTGACGCACACCGCGCCAGGCACCACCCCGCACGCCCTCCGCCCCCGGACACCCTCCGCCGCTAGGGATCGAATCCCACACGCACTCAGCGCCTGCGTTTCTATTTTTTTCTAGATCGAGCTGCTCCCGCGGGAGAGGTGACCGAGCCCGCGACGCTCGCCGAGGCGGCGGCGACAGAGAAGAAGCGGAGGATCAGCCTAGGCCGCTGCGGCGCGCGCCAGGCGAAGGCTCCCCGCCCACCTTCATCCCTTCGCTCGCTCCGTAACCCCCCGACGGCCCGACGATCGCTTTGGGTCCCCGATCCGGCCAGTTTGGTTCCCATCGGGGTTTGATCGGCGATTTCATTTGTTCCGGCGGAAGCCAAGCGGCCAGAAACCGAGGTCGTTCCTTGTGCGGCCAAGGCGCCCGAATTCGTCAAGCTATTTGGTCAATTTTGTCAATTTTGTACACATGCAATAGGCTTCATTTTGTCAATTTTGTTGTTTTATATTGCCTTGGTGACCCTCTCTAGCGCATGAATTCTGTGAGCTCTACAAGACTGCAATTCGTTACTACTGGAGTATAGGATGGGATTAGCAATCGGTATTATTAATACGCCTCTGCTTGACCCGCAAGAATATTTGGACAAAATATCATTCAAGATTATTCAACTTGTGTGCTGCGCCGAAATTTCTATCATTCTTTTTATTATTACTGCTCCATTGTACTTTATGCAATCGTGTCCCAAATCCTTCATTGCTATTTACGGTTAGTACTCTGAACTCTGAAGCATGCTCGATTGTGATTAGCTTATTGCTCCGATGTGTGCTCTGCGCCCGAGGCTAGAGCAGGGTGCGGCGCGCATGGCTCTGCGCGCGAGGCGCGTCCTGTGTAGCGGGCAGAGAAGGCGGGGTGTGGCGCGCATGGCTGAGGCGCCACGGAGGTGATAGTGACACCAACGCGCGCGGCGGAGCTGACCCGCAACGGCAACGAAACGCTGACAGCCCCCATGGCAACGATGGTCCGTGTCGTGCCGGCGGCGTACGGCGGCGAGCGGCAGCGGCCATATGACGCAAGGCAACGACGGTGGCAACTATGGCAATAGGGCCGTGAGTTTTTCTGATCCCCGCCGATGTTAGGGTTTCGAAATTTGGGGAAAACTTTGATCTGAGATGAAATTCCTCTTCATAAAGTCATCACGAGTATACTACTATGTTCAAATAGGCTTGTACATAGAAAACATTCAAGTAAGAAAATCGTAATAATGTCACCAATCACTAGTTCACTACTAAAAAAGGTCACTAGCCGGTTCTAAACCCCTATCAGCTATCACTGCCGATTTTGGATCTCAAAGCATGAATTATCTGTGATGATGCTAAATTTGGGCCAAAAAGTAGCAAAAAATTCTTTTAAATCCCGAGATGCTCCCACTAGCCAGCCATCGCAAGCTACAAGTCACGCAAAAATACACGCACTGCGCGATAGCGGGTTTCAAACCTGAGGCTTGTGGTCTTTGCCCCGTAGTTCCTCTGACTGCTCTACCCCAAACTAACTGTGTCTAAAAGGCATATCCATTTTTCTCGTATTCATTTTTCTATATTTTGAAATGAATATTTGGGACCCTAAATGATTTTTCTAATGAGAACATTGTTAACTACAAAGTTATATATTTCATCGAGATCAACTTTGGTTTTGGTTGTTTCACCGTCCGAGGTCATTTAAAATTTTTGAATTTCAAAATGTTAGAACTTTAAATAGAATTTCGAGACCATAAATGATTTCTAATAAAAAAAGTTCATATGGCGAGCCGACGGTGACGAGGAGCCCATCTCTACCACGTGGTGACACAAACCGGTAGTGATGGTCGGCGGTGAGCGCTATCTATTTGATGAAATACTGATATAGATAGATAGGTGGTGAGAGGTAGGCACCGATGCAGCTAAAAGTGACCCTAACAAAGATGACGTGGTTCTACTAAAACTATAGAGAGAATTTCTTATTTGACACTGGAAAAAATGAGTCGTTCCTTTCTTGGCCCTAAAATTTTCTTCGTTCTCTATTTGACACTCACTTCAACTTTCATCCCTAATTTGACACTACCACAAATCAAAGCTAAACTAACGTGTTAATCAAGCGGTTAAAAAGACATTTTGCCCTCGAAAAAAACCGGGAAGCAAATTTGAGAGAAAAAAAACTCACTCGTCCACCTCTCGATGCATGCATGCCTAATCGAAAAAAAGACCACCACCCGAAGATGCATGCATGCAACAATATTCCCCGCATGGGGCAAAAACGTCTTTTTAACAACCAGTTAACACCGTTAGCTAACGGATTTGACGGTAGTGTCAAATTAGGGATGAAAGTTGAAGTGAGTGTCAAATAGAGAACGAAGAAAATTTTAGGGCCAAGAAAGAAACGACTCATTTTTCCAGTGATCAAATAAGGAATTATCTCAAAACTATATTGCCAACCAAACAAGATTTATACAACACATACATGACACATAGACAATAAAAAGCAAACTAAAATACCAAATACCATTTCTTGCATTGCTTTATGCTCTTGGGCTACCAGATTTATTTTGCTAGCAAAGTTTGGCGAAGAAACAAAGCCATACTTAGGGCTCGTTCGTTTAGAGTCGTTACTGGCCGGAACCATTCCCGCTAAAGTCTGCTACGTGCAATTTAAACCAACGTTCCTGGCCGGAACGGTTCCGACACCTCGATCCCCGGGAACCGAACAGGCCCTTAGGCTCCTTCGATTGTCAGGGAACAAATCCCTGGAACCATTCCCACCTGAAATCGTTCATTAATTTATATAATCTTGATCAACCCGGAATAGTCCTGTCCCATTCCAGCAGAACCGAACGAGGCCTTAATGTTCTCCTTCTCCACGTGCTCCGCCAGCGAACTCCTGTTCGCCATTTACGTCCGCAAGGCGGGCGCAAGCAAAGCAGAGGCGGTTGCCCACACAATCCGGCGGGAACATAGTTCCAGGCTCCCCTCCCATCCCCGCGCCCAATTCACGCTTCTGCCCGAAACCTCACCGCTCGCTTCGCCACGTCGCTGGGGGCGGAAAAGTCATTCCGCATCCCTCCCGTTTTTAGGAAAACCGATTCCCCGCTTCGGTGCCCACCACAAAGCTGACCTGCGGAAGCGCGAGGAGGACGAAAGGGACCCCCGGACGAAGCTGCGCGCTGCACCGACCGACCAAACCCTAGGCGTTCGGCGGGCGTCACCACGGCGGCGAAGACGGGTGCCTCGCGTCGCCTTGGTGTCCCCGAAGTCGTCGACGGTGCAGCTCGATCCGCCTCGTCGAGCATGTCGAGGAGGTAATAATACTTTCGGCTGCCCCAGCAGAACTGCAGTTCTAGCGATTTCGAACTGGATGGGATGCTTTTGAGCTTAGAGGTGGATTGCGTTTGTGTTGCTGTGATAATTTCAGTTTGGATTTAGCTTGTATTTCAGCATTTGTATACCATCGCAGTGCGGTCATCCTGCAATGGAGCTGACTGTTAGTGTGGAGGTCTAGATTTGGGCGACATACTGTTTGGTATTTGATATTTTCTGGTAAAAATAAGATATCATTGGCTTTATGAAGGTTGCAATTTCGGATTTAGGACGTATGGTATTGGACCATCGAGGCGACTAAATTGACCTCTCTTTGTCATTCGAATTCGTTTGGTTGCCCTTGTGCAAAAATTAGATCACGTGTGGTGGTCAGTTGGAGGTCATTATGAACTACATCACGGATTCAAATCATCTGGATACGTTGTGAATCACGGGACTATTACGAGTGGCACAGAAATGTCCTCGACAATTGCTGGATGCAATATATCCTCTCTGTGTGGGCCTGTGTGTGTGTGTGGGGGGGGGGTCCATTATTTTTACCCAAAAAAAAGGCCCCAAGCTTATTCCGAAGTGTAGGTTGAGGTGTAGATTTTAGAATAACAGGACTGCTGAGGTAAACTCTGAATAAAAGACTGTATTGGTAGTTTGGTACACCTTTAAGGCTTTAATGAAAAAATAGGATGAGTGGAAATGTTTGCCAATGACATCACAATTTATGGTTTATATGGTGGTGAGATGGCGAGTAGAACACTTTGAAGTGAAATGAAGTACTAGGAAGAGAATGGAACTATGTTTGTCATGTTGTCAGTTCTGTGACACATCAGAAACACATTTCTGGGGATGGAATGTTTATTTCAAGCCCCCAAAAGCTAGGGTAACTAATCCTGGGATCCTTGTATATTTGTACTGACTTTAGCTGTCTCTTATTGAGGATTGTATCCGTTGGCATAGCAAATGAAATGTTAATGGTTGTGTCCATGTAGAACTTATAACAATTTAGAGTGTTCCCTTATGTTGCCTCTTTCTTTTTCTCACCAGGGTCCCTTGCAAATTCTTCTTGCATGGAGCTTGCTTCAAAGGAGATTACTGTGAATTCTCCCATGACTGCAATGATCAACCAGATAATGTAAACCTACGTACTTCTAACTCCAGACCAGTTTCCCTGCACTATCCAATTTACATTGGGCTTTGCTGTGGTACCCTCTAATGACTATGAGCCGTTCATTTAGTTAGATCGGACGGTTAGAATCATCTATTACTTCCTAGGAGGTAATAGATGAAATATATATTTATTTGATTTTAAATTTGGTAAAATAGAATACATAAGGAAAGTTTTAGATACAAATTTTATTTTCTAGATCTAATTGATGCATGTGTGATCTATTAGATATAGTAATTTTTTTATTTTGTAACTTTAGACATGGAATAATTTAATTAGCCATAGCTGCCGTGAGCATTATTTCGTGCATGTAATTTCATTCTCAAATCACGTGTACGTGACCCTAAATGTCTCGTATCCAAATCCATGTGCGTACATGACCATGATCATTTTTTATGCTTGTATAAGTTCTTGTTCCTAAATCTACATACGTGACAGCACATATAAGAGTTTTTTTAATTGATTATATAACATGATCGGTGTACAATTTTAATGTGACTTCACGTAACAGCACATAAAAGTTTTTGATCACTTTTAAAGAAAAAACATGTACGTTAGCATCACACTGTATGTATAATGAACAATTTTTTTTTTAAAAAATTACAGATTCATATGCATCGTACCATCGGAGTAATAGTTGTATTATACATAATTAATAGAGTTGGGAGAATTTGAGAAATCAATGGCTTCTCGTCCACTTGTGCATGCCGTGACGAGGGGGGATTTTGGGCCTGTTTGGTAGAGCTCTGGCTCCTCTAAAAATGGCTCCGGCTCTGGCTTCTCTGAAGGAGCAGCTCCTCTGGAAGAGCTGAAGCCGTTCTGGAAAACGTTTGGCAAAACGGCTCCTTCGCACTAGACGACGTGAACCCACAGCAAGGAGCCGCGCGAAGCTCGTTTTTTAGGCTTCTCCTGCGCAGGCAAAAAATGGCTCCGGCTCTTGACCGGCTCCCCATGCAGAGCCCTTTCCAAAACAGGCGTTTGGCACAGCTCCTGCAGGAGCCGGAGCTGAAGCCCCTGCAGGAGCCCTGCCAAAGAGGCTCTTTATAGCTGCACATCCACTTATGCATGCCGTGATAAGGGGGATTTGAGATTTTTTTTCTTTTCTCATATTAATTAATCAATTAATTAATTCAAACAACAACAACAACAACATAGCTTTTCAGTCCCAAGCAAGTTGGGGTAGTCTAGAGTTGAAACCCACCAAGAGCCCCAAGTCACGGTTCAGGCTCTTTTGGGTTTCATCTCCATTAAAGTGGCTAAGTTTTTACATTGGCTCGCCGCGCCTAACACAACCCTCCTCCTTTACCAGGGCTTGGGACCTGCTATGCTGGGACACCAAAGGCGCCCCACCATAGGCGGAGTTAATTCAAAAAAATTAAGAATTCAATGGCTCAAATTTGTTTGAAATATTACCTCCTAGGAAGTAAAGAATACCGTAGCATCTCCCATTTACATCTGCATGATCCAGTAACAGTATTCCTGTATTTCTTACAGTAATGCTCTCACCTACAGGTTTGCACGTTCTACCAGAAAGGGGCGTGCTCCTTTGGTAGCCGTTGCAGAAATGAACATGTTGAAGTTCATCGTAACTGCCCCCAACCAGCAACCACTGCAGCACGTGCATCCTCCAATTCTTCTCAGCTAGTTGCTTCTTCCAGAGATCCTCATTGCAGCGAATGCCAAACGGATTTGTGTGACCAAACGCAGCAGATATGCAAGTCAACAACAACACTTTCTGCATATCAACCTGCATGGGCAGTTGATTGTCATGACCATGACACTCCAGATGATACCACAAGCTGGCCGTCGTACCAAGCTGTGCAAAATCAAACATCACAGCATCCTGCTCATCTGTCAAATTGCTCTTCTGCTGCTGCTGGCACTTGTCCTTATGGGAAAGACTGTTCTCAGATGCATGGAGATCTATGTGCATTCTGTGAAAGACAGTGCCTGAATCCTAATCAACCTGACGAAAGGGGGGTACATGTCAAGCTATGCAAGAAAAACAACAGACTTCTTGAGGCCATGAGAAAAAGTGAAGACATAGAATGTGGTGTGTGCTTGGACCGTGTGCTTTCAAAACCTACGGCAGCAGAAAGGAGGTTTGGGCTGCTATCTGACTGTGACCATTCCTTCTGCATCTCATGCATTAGGAATTGGCGTAGCACCTCTCCTACGTCTGGCATGGATGTCAACTCTACACTCAGGGCTTGTCCAATATGCCGCAAATTGTCATACTATGTAGTTCCTAGCATTACGTGGTACTCCTCAAAGGAAGAAAAACAAGAAATTGTTGAAGGTTACAAGGCTAAGCTCAGGTAAGATACTTGATTTGAAAATTTGTTTTATCCTTAGGCACATCGTTTATGTGATTTTCAAGCTGCCCAGACTAATAACAGCAATTCATCTGTACTGTTTAATTTGCTTATTAGGGATGCATAGATAAAACTTCTGTTGTATTTTCTGCCAAAGCAGAACTTAATTCACTAGTTGTATATGTTATGCAGGTCTATTGATTGTAAACACTTTGACTTCGGAAAGGGCACTTGTCCCTTTGGAAGCAGCTGTTTTTACAAGGTACATAATACAGTTTTTTTGGTCATTTAAATGCCTATTTGTTTTATTACATGCTTCAAAGCATGTATTGTTTATCTTCATTCTTGAGTGGAACATAATTAGCTTATCATAGGAGATATTTTCAATCTGACAATGCAAGTCTTGTTCCTAGTACATCTTTGTAATTTGAAACTGGAACCTTTATATAGCAGCTTGCAATTTCAAGCTGATTGCTGTCATTGCTCGAATTCAATAGTAGGTTTAAGCTGCACTGTGGTCCTTCAAAAGCGCGTCCCCATTCGCACAGTGATTTTTTTTTATGAAACTGGAGGGGCTTTTGGCCCCTACAGGCTATTTATTAAAAAATAAAACAGAAAAGGGAAGCCAGTCCGATTACAACTTAAGGAACAAAGAAAGAAAGGAGAGAAAAAATTAAACTAGCAGGAGCATTTACGATAAATTTTGGATCCATAGATCAAAGGTTAAAGAGAGTCTAGCCCTTGTCCGGAAATTTGCACAGTGAATTGCTACCATTTGTCCATTTCTTAGTATATACAAGTACCAATTTATCTGTTGAAAACATCTGCCTGTTAGTTATGATATTTGAAGATTTCCTTTTTGAGTAAAATGCAAGTGCAGGACATGGCCATTTAGAACTTGTAAGAGGATTTACAGTGTGTCTCGTTTGATGGTCATCTGGCTTTTCCTCCACGAGGGCTCAAGTCCTCGATTATAATACTTCATATCATAGAGTAATATGCGTTTCCTTTCGTAGTAGCCCGTATTGTCAGTTTCCCGTGGTGTTATGCTCTATTGTTTTCACACCTGTAATTGCATCGTTTTCAGCATGCCTACGATGATGGCCGTTTGGAAGACGCTTTATTGAATCATCGTGACGCCGACGATGCAAGTGCGGCGATTGCCAGACTTATGAGGTGGGTATTCTATATCATACCAAGCTTCCTTTACAAAATTTGAAGCTTTTGCCTCGCTTGCTGATATGAACCTCCTGTTTATTTCCCAGGTTGTCGTACTTACTGACTCGGGTGCATGTCTAGGGAAAACCCAAACGTATGTTTGAGCAAACATGCTGAGTTGATTGGAGTTCGTTGACCAGACAGGCAATCCTGGATTTGGCTTTGTAATGAATATTATAAAAAAAAACATCCTGAAAAGAGGGCAGTCATTTCTGAAATTTATCTTTTTGCTGAATGTTCAAGTCATCCAGAAGGAAGCAGTCCAAATCGTGCCACTTGGAAGCTAGCATTTCCTGTCCGGGTTGGTAGTTGATTGGTCGTTGGCTGCAGCATCTCTAGCATTTCGTTTTTCCAGCCCAGTCGTTAAAAAAATTTGAGCTTGCTTCCGGAAATTTCAAACAAGCTTACCGAAATGCTCTGTAAATGAAGACTGGAGAAATGTTATTTTGTTCTGCAGAGCTGCTGGCCTGCTATAGCGCGTGGAACTAAGTTCAGTTAAACCCGCCTATAGGTATTCTTTACCACGATATAAATATTTCGTCGTCCTCTCTTTTGGTCACCAACGCACCTGTAGAGAACATTAGACCGTTGCCCCGTTTCATCTCCTTCATTGCGATTGAGAGGACAATATACATACACCTTTCATCAGCTTTTTTGGGCCTGCTCGGTAGGACTGAAAAATACTGTTTCGGCTGATTGTTGTGAGAGAAAAATACTGTTCTGGCAGGACGTGAATAGTGATTTTGTGAGGTGGCTGGCCAGCCGGCAATCAGTCAGCCAGCCAGCCGAACACAGCTTTTGTTGATGGAATGTTAGATGTTTCGACGGGACGGTTAAGAGTAGATCCTTTTGGGTCGTATGACTGCAGAACGATCTCTTGCTGGCCGTAGTTACCTATTCTCCAAAATCCAAAACTGTATGCAAGGCGCGTAAACACAAAGTACACGGTGTTTGTCTACAAATGCTAGGAAGTTCTTTCTTTTTTTTTGCGAATAATGCTAGGAAAATTTAGAACGCAAATGGACAGAACATGGAGACCAACAAGCCTAATGACGAACGAGATCGATCCATCGTCTTTATTCATAGAAGAGACGCCTCAACACAAGGTATACATCAAACAATGCAGTATGGTACAAAAGAATAAGCAATAGCACAGATCACAACGCCCACCCGGGGCACAGGGACACAATCACACACCCCATCACTGCTACTTCTAGTACACCTACTAGCTAAGACGAAGACGATCGAACAGGGTCCAACCCCGACCCCGAATCAGCAGCGAACCACCGCGTCCACGGCAAGCGCCTACTGCATGAGGCCACCCGCGACGAGGATGGAGAAGACGGCAGAGCAAGCCACGGCCAGGGCCGACGCCGCGGTCCCCGCTGCCGCGCCCGTGACGGGCGCCGGCGCGGGCGGCACGCCCAGGTCAATCTCCTGCGCCGACGCCGACGCGGCAAACAGCACGGCCGCCACGGCCACGAGCAGCACTGCAGCGCGGGACGCCATCACGAGCAGAGCGAGGCGGGAACGAGGACGGCAAGAGCGCGTAGCAGCGGCGGCTAAGCTAAGCGAGGCAGAGGAGAGGAGGGGGCAGTGTGGTGAGACGGCAGCGGCATGGGCAGGCGGCCCGGGGTATATAACGAGGTGGCGTGATGTTCGCGGGTCACGGTCGCGGCCGCGCGGGCACCGGGCGCTCGCGTGCGACGCGTGGGATGCCGAGGCGCGACACGTCGGGCGCGCGGACGGCGCAGGTGGCGCGGCGCGAGGTGGGGGGGCTGGCCGTCTGGGTCTCGCCGCGCGAACGCGAACGCGATTCCATCGATCCCACCACACCGCACCACACGACCTCGGGTCTGGGTGACGCCCACGGCCCAACCGGCGTTGATTGGCGCGCGCGCAACCGCGACGCGTCCGCCGCACGACGCCACCGCCGACACACCGGCTACGCGACCGATCGACATGGTATGCGACGTCACGAATGCGGTACATGTACGCCGTCGCGTACGTCACGTCACCCTCAGCACACCCGTAACTGGCGACGAGTAAAATTAAAGCAAGATTAGTAAGGTTAAAGGTGATATAAGCTGGCTGCACAAGTTATCACATCAGATTTATGCTGAAACGCATGAGATAAAAGCCCTATTCGCTTGCTTATTCAGAGCTACTTTTCAGCCATGGAATAACGTTCTTCTCTCGTAACATTTCAGCATAAGCATCAGCATAAGCCAAATTTTAGCATCAGCGAAAAGGGTGAAAAGAGAAAACAAAGCAGCTGTAAACTCGTAGCTTAAGCCTTAACGAGACATTGGTTTCAAGAAACTTGGTGAGATAGACTCTCTGTATTTGTAATAATATAACTATTATAATAAGTGATATAACACTAGCGTATAATTAACCAGCTAAACTATTGACCGTGCCCTCTCTAAGCATTATTACTCGCCATGAGCGTTCATTTTTTCCCCTTGATGAATGATAAGCATGGACGCTCGTGTTGATTTTTCCTTCTTGCCGACTAGTATACCGATCACGTAGCGTATTGCCTACGTTGCTCAGGGGTCAATGGTAGCTGCCGTACGCGTACACTCCGGTACGTGCGTGCGTACACCTGCCCAGCACAGGGCCGGCCGGACGCAGTAAAGCCAGCGCACATGCGGTGCAGGGTGACGTACGAGGCCGACTACGGGCAGCAACAGGGCCACGTACCGTAGGCTCCGTTCCAAAGTCTTCACGGTTACTTCACCAACACCAACGCTTCGGTTGCAAGCGCGGTATCCGCCGGGCGTGCCCTGGAAGATGGCAGGTATATACGGAGTATGTGGTATATGTTCATCGACAGGGACCGATCGAGGGATCGGAGATCAACCAAATCAACTCACGTTTCCCTAGTTTGCAGCTTCAACCAAGCTAGCCGGTCGGAGAATTGGCCAAATGGGAACCTTCTAGGCGCACCTGAAGAACAGTTTAAGGTCGATCTGCAGAATTTTCCAGGAAATGTATTATGCATTTTCTGTGCCTACGCCGGCTTCCAGGGATACGTGCGTACTGAGCTTCTCTCCCTACCACCACACGCCGGAGCGGATCACGGTGTTCCAGAACGTAAGGGCGTGCGTGTCCGGCACTCCGGTGTCCTGTATGAACAAAGGCCAGCCGCATCACTGTGGGCTTGTGGCGGCGATCGATCGAGGCGAGAGCGTGTACGTGTGCGTGTCAGTCAGATCGGCGCCGTCTGCGTTGCGCGCGGTAGCGGAGAGGATGGACCGAAAGGGAAGCCTCAGCTGCAGGCAGAGAAGCCGTCCGCCTCAACAGTCGACATGCATGCCAGTGGCGAGCCAGCGAAACACCGGCGGCATTCTTTCCCATTCCTCTACGGCTCCCTTCGGTATAGTCGGTGCGGTGGATGCATGAATCTCCCAGCGCGCGCGGAGGTGTCATGTCCCCGTCGCCGGAGCGCTGAAATGATGGGTTTTTTTTTCTGAACCCGATCGGTTCAGAGCTCAGATTCAGAGTTCGGATCGATGTCACAATGCAAGGGCCTCTGAACATGTTCTGTCGCACCCAGTAGTACTCCGTTCTTCCATCACTATAACCGTGGATTGCTGTCGATCAAACAAGAGCTGAATCGTGCCGTTTGCTGCCTTGCTGGAGTGATATTAGGACCGTAGAACACAGGGACCTTGTCAGTTGCCGCAACAGTTCCTTTGCGGTTGAGCTCGGCGATTAGAGAATTCATCTTCCATAATAACAGGATTCCAGGTTAACAATTGATCGCCCGTAGCGTCGTTAGGTGGCTACCTAATGCTTGGAGTTCATACCAAATATTCTGCTTGAGTGCTTGTGTATTCTCTTTCATGCTGGACAGGTGATGATTTAGGAATCTTATGAGGTAACAGCCCAACCACACGAATGATATGAGCAGTTGATGTGGGATTTTTTTTGGGGTTGAATTTAACTGCACTTGCCTCGTTGTTTTTCAATTAAATCAATAAATTCCAACACACATGTTTCATGCTAGGAGTCATGTGCTTTAATCTGAGCTTTGCTTTGATCGAGGTGATGCACTGCCTCTTCTGTTAGAGCATAGCATATCACATTGGTTAATGCTATATATTTACCATTTTTCTTATGATTAATGTCATGATTTATCTACTATACTTGTGTGGATTAAAATAAACCGAAAAAAATATCCACATATCTACTCACTCCGCTTCAAAAAATAAGTGTTTATTCTTTTGTGGTAAGGTTGACAAAGCTTATAAAAACCAATTGTATGTCAACCTTTTGAAACATATATTAATAATTTACTTTTCTGACGTCATATATATGCTAAGACCTTTTCTTATATAAACTTAGTTAACATTGAAATGACTTTACTAAAAACACTAGACCATAGGAGAAGACTCCCTCCCGTATGTCTTTCAAATAAGAAGATGCCAGGCATCGAACCCAGGTCGGACGGTAGAGTCCGTTTTTACTTAAAAACCCTTTAAGTTTTCTTTGAAATCAACCCGCTCCCAGACGCCTCTCATTTTTACACAAAAACGCCTCTAACGCTTTCACCCGCACCGGATGGGTACTGGTTTGTTTGCAAAAAGACCTCCACTTTAGCGAAAATCAACTCACGCTCCCTAGACACCCGCCGTTTTTTTATAAAACTCCTCGAAAATCTAGTTGACTTGATTATATTTTTTTCCCTAAGGACCGCCGCACATTCAAAAACAAACAGTGATTTCAAATAATCCTGATCGAACCCAGGTCGGACGGGAGAGTCCCGCAGCTCATTGCTCTAATCGGTCACACCAAGAGAGGCTTAACGAAATGACTATATTTATAGGACTAAAAACTAGTTGACTATTTTTTAGTCCCTAAGCATTCAAACAAACAGGAGCTAATCATGAATCGGTTGTTAGTTCGTTAGTCCACACGTAAAAGTTAATGACTAAAAGTCTTTTTGGCATGGCTCATTCAAAACGGCTTTACCGGGTGAAGCCGTTTGAAAAACGCTTTGGCAAAATGGCTTTTCCGGCTTCTAATTCATTTTTTACCCCGCATGGAAAATGGTTTCACGCCAGAAGCCACTTTTTGATTCCATCACACCCCAAATCATTGTGAGAGCGTGTTTTTAGAAGCTTCACCAAAGAGACCCTAATTGTTAGTCCTAGCACATCCAAACAAGGCCGATCCACACTTTTCATTCTAGTGCTGATGGAATAAGTGAATACGGAGCCTGGGCTGCTAGTTAGTAAGATATAAGATATTTACAACGGCAGCCAATCATACGGAGCCTGGTTCTCCAAAATGAATTTGATTGAAGAAGTAGAACAAGTCGACAAAAATCAATCGGGTGCAGAACTTTCAGATGCCTTCTCCTCCTCTGCCACGTGTGTTGGACCTTATACCAAAACCGCGAAATCATTGGCGAGAACGTGGTGCCGGGTCCATCGCCGTGGAACATTTGAACTTTGTCGCTTTTCTTTGAAAAGTCGTAGTTAAAAAACGCTTATTCACCGATTTATCGCGAAAGAAAAAATATTATTTATTTATTAAAATAGTACTACTCATAAGACGAACATGAGCCGGCGCGCCCGCCATGGCCCATGGGTCCCATGACAGAGACAGACGACACCGGTGCCGAGCGGCTCGATGATACGAGCGGCGCCATGAGGGCTCGGATTGAACATTGCCTCAGCTTTATGCGTTGTGTCTCTGCATGCCACAACGAACCAAACTGCTGGTATAAGTTTCCTCCCTGTCATCGTCGCCTTGCTAGTTGAAGTAGGTTGTCGATCGCTTTTCTTGCCAGCTTAACACATGTTGTACCACATAATCTACACGATTACAAATGTAAAGCGGAGCTCACGAAATGGACCAGGGGAATTTTAAACGTCCGGTCGGCAGCCTGCATTTTATTTCTGAAAGTCTGAACAGCGCAGTTTTCTTTTTCATCGAGGAGCTGGCGGACGACTTTGTTGTTGTTGCTTCCATAGACTAATCGCTAAAATTTTGGAGATTATCATTGCTTATTAGTTTTCGCACGATCATTCATCTTCTTGACTTCTTCCCCTCTCGGTGAAGACTGAAAACTAGATGGTCTTCTGAACCTTCTGAACAACCGTGGCGCACTGCAACAGGCCAACAACACAGGAATGCAAGTTACCGCGCTGTTTCGCTGGCGACGGAGACCAAGACGATGAACACACACAGCATTGTTGTTTGGAGGTGAGAGTGACACGTGACAAACAGTTTGACAAAATCAGCCCAAATTGTTTCACGGCTAACACGCAGCAAGAACACGCGAACAAACGTGCGCGCGCGCCTGCCGAGACCGAGGGACTCGTTCAAATGGTGAGACGCAAACCACACACTACACGACCCGTTCGTGTCTTCCCCGCGAGATGACCGCCCGGCCACTCGCTGGACCGCTTCGCACGCACATGCAGGCACGTAGCAGGCGCCGCCACATGGCGGCCACCGACTCGCGATCGCCGAGGATTAGCCCACTAATCCCGCTATAAATCCCCGGCCCCGCCGTGGCCTCCATCCCCAGGCAAAGCGACGGGAGCACAGAGCCAGCCAGCAGCCGAGAAGCAGCCAGCTCGCTCGCCGCGCCCGCCGCCTTCTTCCTCCGTTCCGCCCCGCCGCCGCGCCGTCTCTACGGTTGCTAAGCCGCCGCCGCATCCAGGGATGGAGATGAAGAAGATCGCCTGCGCCGTCCTCGTCGCCGCCTCGGCCACCGTGGCGCTCGCTGCGGAGGCTCCGGCTCCGGCCCCCACCAGCGGCTCCTCCGCCGTCGCACCCGCCGTCGGCGCAGCCCTCGGGGCCGCCGTGGCCTCCTTCTTCGCCTTCTACATTCAGTGAGCCGGCCGGCCGCGCCCGGAGGAGGAGGAGGAAGAGACGAAGGGGAGACATGGCTGCGCCGATCCCAACACGCGCGCGCATTCCGATGCGTGGGCGTGTTCTGATTCGACACGACGACGACACGCCTTTGTCTTCTTTTCTTTGTTCCTCTCTTCTCCTTAAGTTAACGAATTGATTGATGTCGCTGATGCACCAGCTTGATTTGGTGCCTTGTTATTTGTTCTTCCCTTGAGAGAGGGATCGACACTTGTACCATTGCTTGCCATTTGTTTGGATCAATTCAACAATTCTCGATTTAACCATCGCGTGTATATGTGCCTTGGATGAACGTTGCCCGCATGGTGATGAGGTTTTCGGTTCATGGCGCTTTGTTCGTGGTTCAGGATGTGCTGGGGCGGTGGGCATGTGAGGCTGTGACCCGTGTATGATGCTACCAATGCTCTGCTTTTTAACCCCTCTTCTTTTTTCAGTTTTTTTTACTGGTGTTAAGGCAAAAAGAATTACCGCACCGGCAAAGTTCAGAGAAATATAGGAGCAAACGATAAACTAGAACAACATTCTGGTCAAACAAGGAATGGGCAATCATCTTTCTAATTATAATGACTCAACGTGAGACGTCAGTACACACTACAGAGTAATAATGGAAGGGTGCTAGCGCCCGGATGTCCGAACGACCAGCAGCTGCGGTCCATTTTCCCGCATCCATGCATGGGCGCGCACTGGACGGATGTTGCTCATGGTCACGAGGGGCCCGCGCCACGCGCGAGGCGACTGCTCGCGTCCCCTCCAGCTTCCCACGCGTATCCTATATGCAACAGCCGATATATTTTCGAAAACATTTAGATGTAACACTTGTAATATAAAAAAATTTAGAAGAAATATTTGAACCATGCATCTGAAATACTTACAAAAATATTTGAAAACCATTGTAAAACATACACAACATTTAGATAAAACACTTACAACATATATGTGAAAATATATGCAACATCAAAATAAACACGCTTACAACATACGTCCGAAAAACTGATAAAACATTGGAGACAGACTCTTACAACATACATGTACAACCATTGCAATATATGCAACATCCCGATATACTTTTACAACATCCATATAAAATATTTGCAACGTACCTCTAAAACATTTGAAACATATGAATTTTGAGCTTGCAATATGCATCATATCCCGGTGCAACCTTCTCCACCTTCTGCGTCGGGCACCGCAGCCGTAGCACCAAGCGAGGCCGGAGGGCTTCCGCGCCGGGGCCTGACGTTTCTCCTTGCGTTGGTGGCGCCTGTCAGTGTCGTTAGGCCGGGCGGGTGCGGGCGGTGGAGCAATGGCAGGAGCAGCGAGACGGCCGCGCGGAGCAGGTACAGGAGCAGCGGGGCGGGTGGCGGACGAGCAGGCAGCGCGAGATGAGCGGCAGGAGCAACAGAAGGGGGCACGGGCGGTGGAGAAGAAGGAGCAGCGCGAAGCGAGCAACGAAAGGGGATGAACGTGAAGTTTACTGGGCCAGCTGATCCATAGATCGAGGCACCACGGTGTCCAAACGGGACGGCAAGCTGATACTGTCATACTGTTGGTCCCGGAGGTCCAGGGTTAATCGAACTTCTCTCATTTTACTCATCCGAAATCCCGAACAGAACTGCACTGCAATTTCTGATTGCTGTAATCAGCTTGCAGAGTCGCAGTTGGATCCAGTGACTAAAATTTAAAAATATATCGGGAGGATGTTGCATAGGGTGTTTGATACTAATAAAAGAACAAATTACATAATCTGTCAGTATTCTACGAGACGAATTTTTAAACCTAATTAACCCGTCATTAGCATATGTTTACTGTAGCACCACATTGTCAAATCATGGAACTAATTAAGCTTAAAAGATTCGTCTCGTAAATTAGTCGCAAACTATGCAATTAGTTTCGTAATTAGTCTATATTTAATACTCCATGCATATGTCCAAATATTCAATGTGACATCGATTAGAATTTAGGAGAGGCAACAAACATCACCTGAAAACACCTGAAAAATGTAACATGATGGTTGTCTCCAGAATTACAGTATATAGTAAATGTTAGGCGAGGACCCAAATGGCCCCAGCAGGCCCAGCTCTCATGGAGTAGAAAACTGCTTTAACATTCAGAAATCATATGAAAACTTCAAGGAAGTAACTACCTGATAACTCTGTACATATCTTACGCAAATACGAGGAAAAAAATGGAGGAGCAAAGCAACTTAGATCCATCAACTGCAAAAAGAATTGGAAACGAATATAGATCTATCGTCAAAGACAAGCAGATAAGTATCTCACTACAGCATCGACATTCCAGGCCATCTTACTTTGCAACTTGCACGCTCCGAAAGGTCAAAAAAAAAAAAAAACCCTCCAGAAAGGCTGCAAACTTGCATCCCCAAGTGGCCAGCAGCACTGAACTTTGTGTGATGTTTCTGAACATTAGTGGAAGTAGCATGTGCGGGCAATGGCGTAAAGTGATTTCTAAGTTTCACTTCAGAGAAAGATTGACACAGCAACAATGTAGAATAGTAGCACCAACTTCTTTCAGAAGTAAATTACATGTTATTTCAGGCATCCATGCTAGATTTACCAGCTGGAAAGGCACAAAACACATCCACCCAACACCCGAAGGAAAAGATCAATCTATACATGCGAAAGATAATATACTGTAGTCTGCATATTGAACAGACATTAAGCTGAGAAGGGCCGACACTGAACAAAAAAAAGGAGTCACTTTAAGGGACCAGCAGCCACACCTCTCAAGCTTGCAGCAAGTACACCTTGGCCTTGCAAGGTCAAGAATGTTACATCAATAACATAAGGATTTCCCCATCCTGGTGCAGGAAAAAGAACATAAGCAATGTTTGCATAAGCTTTGATCTGATGATCAAGGAGGATAGCAGCACCAAACAAGGGTTGAAGAACCACATGCTGCCATGCAGTGCCGAACTGCTGATGGTTCAGGATTGCATCCTTCCTTGAGTGAAAAGAGACCTGAAACTTAGTGGAATCTGAAGGTGATTGAGAGTGATATGTGTGATCCTTCCATTGCAGGTACCTATTTATAACGGAGAAAAAGAGCACCAATAATTGGCAACTATTATGCAGTTTCTGAGATGAGGGCTAATTTATCTAGCAGCTAATGCCTATCTATTGGTGATGGCAATGCTGCCGGTGAATCTGCACTATCCAAAAGCATCAAGACAAGCTATTAAACAGTGTACTTCAGAAGACACACAAGGGCTACATAGCTACTGAGAATGTCTAGTGCATATCCTGTACAAAACATTTTTCTTTGACCTAAGCTGCAAGCTTATTCTCTCTTGTCCTGAAAAATAGTGGATTTTCAGTTGTCCTAAATCAAACAATTCTAAGTTTGACAAAGTTTATAGTAAAGAACAATCATATTTACAATATCAAATGAGCACTGTTAGATATATAATGAAATGTATTTTCATAATATCCCTCTTTGATATGGTGCATGTTATTACTTTTGTCTACAAACTTGGTTAAACTTAGAATGGTTTGACTTAGGAAAACTGAAAATCCATTATATTTCAAGGCTGAGGGAGTACAAGGTCACAGTGCAATGTACTCTGGTAATCAGGATTGCTTTCTAGAAACCATGGACATCTGTAATGGCCTTTCATAGAGCCACAGGGTTCTTTCTATATCCCACCCTTCTCAGGCAATCAGGCACCAGAGACCAGTAAAAGGGGACATGACAATTGGGGATCTTAAAATGAAATATTGCACTTCGGAGACAACAGGAAGCGACGGATCCCTGTGTTAAAGAATTAATAAAAGATCAAGAGCACAGCTTTTCATGGCCCACTAGTGTTATACTATCATAGTGTCACTTATATATAAAGTATAAACAACATAAAGCATGACCACGATGTATCCATCAGGAAACGGTAAATAGTAAAAAACCAAATTATACAGCTCAGCAATTTTCAAAAGCAATTAGGAAAAATATCCAACTGCTTAGTTCATGGTAATATCATAAGAGACCAGTACAGTAAAAATAATAGACAATCCATTCATGTTGTTATCCCTACAACCGTGTTAACTTAGTTAAAAAAAAACTATCTGAATTTTGTTAGCACACTTGCAGAGGAACAAATTGAACTGTCTACTGTACAGGGTGCAGTTAGACAAGAATTCACCTATAATCACTTCATAAACATATAATATCACAAAGGGATTATTTGGTTAGATTCATCAAATGATTAACAAATCACTAATTGCTATAAGAGAGTCATGCAGTAGATAAGCTAAAACTATAGGATATCTGATCAATAATACATCAATTTGGAGTTAACTTGTCTATCAAATGATTCACAAATCACTAATTGCTATAAGAGAGTCATGCAGTAGGTATAGGATATCTGATCAATAATACATCAATTTGGAGTTAACTTGTCTAAATTTTAAGAAAACTCACTTATATTCAACAGAAGACAAACAAATAACACGTTCAAACAGGATACAAGCAAATCTTATCTGCGAATTTCGGACAAAGAATAACCAAGGCACGATAGAAACATAGTACTTCACTACTTCTGAACATAGATAAATACAAAGGTGAATTCAAACAGAGGATACAGCAAGTGGAAGAATACCGTACTACCAACAAAAGGTCTAGCTTTTGATAGAGATATGAGTCTTCAGATATCCAAATCAATTTCTGGTTTAAAATTGATACTAAATCTGATTGCAGAAGAATTTGTGATAGTCCACATCATCAAAATGTTTTTACAAGATGTTAGATTATCATATCAGGACCATACATGCCCTCTCCTTCTAAATCTTGCAAAAGTAAGTCAGGATTAAAGAGGGAAAAGAGATCCCACAAGGCCACAACAATTTATAATACTGGTTGAGGACAACACGCAACGACCTCGTTGCTAAAAATATAGTAAATTATAGATGTCTAACTAGACAATTAGACAACTGTCTCAAAGGATAGCATGAGTACTGTTTGGTTATACTATTGAAAGATTATTAAAACCATTTTTTCAAATCATTTCAATCAAGGTAAACCTCGCAATAAAGCACAGGTTGTTCTCTAGTTGGCTGCCATTATCGTATTTGGGATACTGTTATTTCCAATTTACTCTATTCGACATATTGTAAGAAACTATTCAGTCCACTTTACATAAGCCAACCCTGAAGAAAACATCTGATCACATTGGAGTTCTGAACTGAGCATATAACTAGACTGCCAAGTGCCAATCACAAAGGTATCAAAACACAGTTCATTCTGATCTCAGTAACAACTGAATCAGCCACGGTATTCTTCTAGTGTAAGGTGATAATACAACCTTGCCAAATCTTGTTTCAAAAAACAACCTTGCCAAATCACAATGAATCCAAAACACAGTTCAGTGGCAA